TTTACTCCGAGCTTTTCTACGACCTATTACACTGTTACGACCCCGACGCTTTAATCAAGCTTTGTTACGCTTTAGTGCCGCTTTACAAGGCGCTTTAAAGCGCCATCAAAGCGCCGTTGGTATAAACAAAAATGAACAAAAAGTTGGCGCTTTGCTCGCCGATTTAAAGCGTGGCATTCGCCGTTGGTGTGAACGTAGCTTTAAACACGAAGCCCCCTTCGAAAGGACTATTAAAAGGGTAAGAGCTCATGTCATCTATTGCCAAGCAGAAGTCTTTCTCTGTTCTCCAGCACCAACTTTATTAGCGTTCATGTGATTAAAGTGACCACAACGTCGAATATGAATTCCAAGAACTCACACGCAGATATGGCGGACATTCCAATAAACAAACCTATCGTTCCACCCAGGTCTGCTATCAGTTTGTCAGGCTGAAAACAAACTGACATTTTGTTGGGATGTCAACGATTGCATTTCCGCAAATGTCGATGTAGCTGAGAGAGAGAAAGGTTCACAATATGGCAAAGGAATGTACATTGGTGACGAGAGAAACAATGTGACATTTTGTTGGGATGTCAACGATTGCATCTTCCACAGATGTTGTATTTGACATGTAATCGAATGATGTAGCCGAGGGAATGATAGGTTAACAATAAAGCAAAGGAGTGTACACTGACATTTTGTAGGGATGTCAACGATTCCATATTCCGCAAATGTTGTGTTTGGCATTTAATCGAATGATGTAGCTGAGGGAAGGATAGGTTAACATTAAGGCAAGGGAGTGTACACTGGTGACGAGAGAAACAATGTGTCATTTTGTAGGGATTTCAACGATTTCATATCCCGCAAATGTTGTGTTTGGCATTTAATCGAATGATGTAGCTGAGGGATGGATAGGTTAACATTAAGGCAAGGGAGTGTACAATGGTAACGAGAGAAACAATGTGTCATTTTGTAGGGATGTCAACGATTGCATATTTCGCAAATGTTGTGTCTGGCATGTAATCGAATTATGTAGCTGATGGATGGATAGGTTAACATTAAGGCAAGGGAGTGTACACTGGTGACGAGAGAAACAATGTGTTATTTTATTGGGATGTCAACGATTGCATATTCTGCAAATGTTGTGTTTGGCATTTAATCGAATGATGTAGCTGAGGGATGGATAGGTTAACATTAGGGCAAGGGAGTTTACACTTGTGACGAGAGAAAAAATGTGGCATTTTGTTCGGATGTCAATGATTGCATATTCCGCAATATGTTGTGTTTGGCATATAATCATATGGTGTAGCTGAGGGATGGATAGGTTTACATTAAGGCAAGGGAGTGTACACTGGTGACGAGAGAAACAATGTGACATTTTGTTCGGATGTCAACGATTGCATATTCCGCAAATGTTGTGTTCGGCATGTAATCGAATGATGCACCTGAGGGATGGATAGGTTAACATTAAGGCAAGTGAGTGTACACTGGTGACGAGAGAAACAATGTGTTATTTTATTGGGATGTCAACGATTGCATATTCTGCAAATGTTGTGTTTGGCATGTAATCGAATGATGTAGCTGAGGGATGGATAGGTTAACATTAAGGCAAGGGAGTGTACACTGGTGACGAGAGAAACAATGTGTTATTTTATTGGGATGTCAACGATTGCATATTCTGCAAATGTTGTGTTTGGCATTTAATCGAATGATGTAGCTGAGGGATGGATAGGTTAACATTAAGGCAAGGGAGTGTACACTGGTGACGAGAGAAACAATGTGTCATTTTATTGGGATGTCATCGAATGCATATTCCGCAAATGTTGTGTTTGGCATGTAATCGAATGATGTAGCTGAGGGATGGATAGGTTAACATTAAGGCAAGGGAGTGTACACTGGTGACGAGAGAAACAATGTGTCATTTTATTGGGATGTCATCGAATGCATATTCCGCAAATGTTATGTTTGGCATGTAATCGAATGATGTAGCTGAGGGATGGATAGGTTAACATTAAGGCAAGGGAGGGTACACTGGTGACGAGAGAAACAATGTGTCATTTTGTAGGGATGTCAACGATTGCATATTCCGCAAATGTTGTGTTTGGCATGTAATCGAGTGATGTAGCTGAGGGATGGATAGGTTAACATTAAGGCAAGGGAGGGTACACTGGTGACGAGAGAAACAATGTGTCATTTTATTGGGATGTCATCGAATGCATATTCCGCAAATGTTATGTTTGGCATGTAATCGAATGATGTAGCTGAGGGATGGATAGGTTAACATTAAGGCAAGGGAGGGTACACTGGTGACGAGAGAAACAATGTGTCATTTTGTAGGGATGTCAACGATTGCATATTCCGCAAATGTTGTGTTTGGCATGTAATCGAGTGATGTAGCTGAGGGATGGATAGGTTAACATTAAGGCAAGGGAGGGTACACTGGTGACGAGAGAAACAATGTGTCATTTTGTAGGGATGTCAACTAATGCATATTCCGCAAATGTTGTGTTTGGCATGTAATCGAGTGATGTAGCTGAGGGATGGATAGGTTAACATTAAGGCAAGGGAGGGTATACTGGTGACGAGAGAAACAATGTGTCATTTTGTAGGGATGTCAACGATTGCATATTCCGCAAATGTTGTGTTTGGCATGTTATCGAGTGATGTAGCTGAGGGATGGATAGGTTAACATTAAGGCAAGGGAGGGTACACTGGTGACGAGAGAAACAATGTGTCATTTTGTAGGGATGTCAACTAATGCATATTCCGCAAATGTTGTGTTTGGCATGTAATCGAGTGATGTAGCTGAGGGATGGATAGGTTAACATTAAGGCAAGGGAGGGTACACTGGTGACGAGAGAAACAATGTGTCATTTTGTAGGGATGTCAACGATTGCATATTCCGCAAATGTTGTGTTTGGCATGTAATCGAGTGATGTAGCTGAGGGATGGATAGGTTAACATTAAGGCAAGGGAGGGTACACTGGTGACGAGAGAAACAATGTGTCATTTTGTAGGGATGTCAACTAATGCATATTCCGCAAATGTTGTGTTTGGCATGTAATCGAGTGATGTAGCTGAGGGATGGATAGGTTAACATTAAGGCAAGGGAGGGTACACTGGTGACGAGAGAAACAATGTGTCATTTTGTAGGGATGTCAACTAATGCATATTCCGCAAATGTTGTGTTTGGCATGTAATCGAGTGATGTAGCTGAGGGATGGATAGGTTAACATTAAGGCAAGGGAGGGTACACTGGTGACGAGAGAAACAATGTGTCATTTTGTAGGGATGTCAACGATTGCATATTCCGCAAATGTTGTGTTTGGCATGTAATCGAGTGATGTAGCTGAGGGATGGATAGGTTAACATTAAGGCAAGGGAGGGTACACTGGTGACGAGAGAAACAATGTGTCATTTTGTAGGGATGTCAACGATTGCATATTCCGCAAATGTTGTGTTTGGCATGTAATCGAATGATGTAGCTAAGGGAATGATAGGTTAACAATAAGGCAAAGGAGTGTACATTGACATTTTGTAGGGATGTCAACGAATGCATATTTCGCAAATGTTGTGTTTGACATGTAATCGAATGATGTAGCTGAGGGATGGATAGGTTAACATTAAGGCAAGGGAGGGTACACTGGTGACGAGAGAAACAATGTGTCATTTTGTAGGGATGTCAACTAATGCATATTCCGCAAATGTTGTGTTTGGCATGTAATCGAGTGATGTAGCTGAGGGATGGATAGGTTAACATTAAGGCAAGGGAGGGTACACTGGTGACGAGAGAAACAATGTGTCATTTTGTAGGGATGTCAACGATTGCATATTCCGCAAATGTTGTGTTTGGCATGTAATCGAGTGATGTAGCTGAGGGATGGATAGGTTAACATTAAGGCAAGGGAGGGTACACTGGTGACGAGAGAAACAATGTGTCATTTTGTAGGGATGTCAACGATTGCATATTCCGCAAATGTTGTGTTTGGCATGTAATCGAATGATGTAGCTAAGGGAATGATAGGTTAACAATAAGGCAAAGGAGTGTACATTGACATTTTGTAGGGATGTCAACGAATGCATATTTCGCAAATGTTGTGTTTGACATGTAATCGAATGATGTAGCTGAGGGATGGATAGGTTAACATTAAGGCAAGGGAGGGTACACTGGTGACGAGAGAAACAATGTGTCATTTTGTAGGGATGTCAACTAATGCATATTCCGCAAATGTTGTGTTTGGCATGTAATCGAGTGATGTAGCTGAGGGATGGATAGGTTAACATTAAGGCAAGGGAGGGTACACTGGTGACGAGAGAAACAATGTGTCATTTTGTAGGGATGTCAACGATTGCATATTCCGCAAATGTTGTGTTTGGCATGTAATCGAGTGATGTAGCTGAGGGATGGGTAGGTTAACAATAAGGCAATGGTGAGTACATTTCCCTTTTCATCCCGAAGAGTAAATATGATATTAGCAGTCGTAGTATGAGATTGCATATGCAGAGCGTCGGTCATATAGTTTCCATATAGCTTTTGAAGTCTCGCTTAATCTCGTTTTTTGTGAGATTTTAAGAGACTTGCATATTAGACCTCTATTGACTTACATTACCTTCTTTTAAATGGCATATTTGAATTCAGTGAAATGTTTTCTCCTATAATAGCTTTGATTTACACAGTTATGTAATTTGAATAATTTTCTATGACAATTTTAAAAAACTTGGGCCAAATGTCCATAGATGAAATGCTAAAATTCTTTAAACCCGTGGATTATTTGTATGTCAATCAACATTTGTATGCTTAATCACAACATGTGCATAAACAGGGTCATCATGTGGTATATCATTCAAGTTTTATACAGATTCAACTAACACACTTTGATAAATCATGAAATTAAGCCACTTTTCCAAGATTTTAGCATGTAAGTAAAGGGAACTCTAGCCCAAGTTAAAAGCTGAATAAAAGATGGCAGCACTAGATTTCATTGATTTTTCTGCTATTTAGAAACTATCCTAATACTTACTGGATAACTAGGCGACTCTTTTATGGTCTGATAGTTCAGCTCTTCAAAGTAAATATGTAAACGGACAACACTTTGCCTAAAAATCAAATGTAAATATCATGATCAAAAATAAATATAATATTAACATTGGCAACTCCATCCGATGTACCGTTTAATGCTTATTAGAAATAATCTAGAGAATTGAAAAAATTGATGAATGTAACATTATCTTCGAATTGAAAAAGGAAAATATCAAAATACGAGATTGAGTGATGGCTATATTGAAATGTTTGTTAAAGCAATGCATCTTACTACTAGTACTACATATTTTATAGTCGTATATTAGTACTATTATTGTAAATGTATTGCAATCGATTTTGTGAGGAAACCAAGTGTTTGGTTTGAAACAGTATAAGTTATTAAATAATTTGAGTGCAATACAGGATATATTGTGCTCGAGAAATTCTGTATTGTCACGAAATGAAATCGAGTGCCAATACATAATATCGTGAGCACAATATATCCTGTATTGCACTTCAAATCATTCTATAACGTTTTTATCGCGTGATCTCAGGCCAATGCATTTTACTAGGAAATATTCTAACTTGCTCTAAAACCATTAATTCAATGCAAACGATTTTATTTCATGAATGAAATCTGTATTGCTACTGAGATTGTCCCCTCCGTACCATTTTCTGTATTACTAGTAGCCTACGAAGAAGATCAATCCCGTACCAATACAAGGTGAGAGGTCTCAATACAGGTTGGTACAGCACAAGAACTGACCAATCAGAGGGCTTCATTTTACAGATCATAAGATAAAAAAAGTTTGAATCTTGAAACGTCAACAAAAAGACAATCTTTTGATTCTCAAAGTCAAAGCTGTTGTCATTCAGAATTCAACTGAAATTTAATTGTTTAGGCCTATTTGTTAGCATGGTTAAATCCTTTATCTAGTGAGTCAACTTACGTGACTTTGTTCTTAAATTGTTCGACGGTGTCCTTGTTAACAGTTAACCCCATGTCCGTCATTAAGATTGGCAAGTACGCTGGGCTTGGCCATGCCGCTGTTGTAATCCTGGTATTGTATGATATGTCCCTGTCATAAAAAGTTTTTTAAAAAAGATTAAAATTGCCCTTATACCTACTTTGTCGTCCGAAACAAAAAATTACAAGTACGCATGCGCATTGGGTGAAATAATGTCGTCTGCAATTAATGATTATTTACAAAGTAAATAGTTTTTAATAGCATAGCGACATCTTTATTATCTTACTATAACTGATTATTAGCGCATGCGTATGTTCATTCGATTTACACTTAGTCATAGTTGAGTAAAGCTTTTTGAAGTTTTTGAAGAACCGTATAATGGATACTAATAGTGATATATATATATATTTCTTTATTGCGACCATAATTGATCATCATAATATACATTATTTTATGTTAACATATATACAAACATTTAGGTGAACAATACAAGGTCTGGATGATATTTACAAAATGGCGTTTGTTCGATGTTGGTACATCGCATATAAAGTATTAGCAATAAATATACAGTCATCCTGCTCATCTGGAGCGAAGATTAAGGGCAATACGCCATCCCCATATTTGTCAATAAGGGGTTTTAATAATAATCGACGACTCTTAAGTTCAGTACAATCCTTTATAAAATGAATTAATGTTTCACACTCTCCACATAAAGGACACAATCTATTTTCTTTAGCTTCTGCATACCTCCCAATGGCTTCCCCCACCAGAAGCCGTACCATAAACTTACATTTGAAAATGAGATCAGGCCTAAATTTACATAATTGGTACCATATTATTGGAACTCGATTATTGACGACATCTCTGTACGTCTTAATCTTAGTATACATCATGCATTTTAGATGCCATCTATTTATGTAGTAATTGGATACTGCATTTTTAGAAATTTTCTTCCAATGATGCTTTTTGGGGAAAATACCTTGGTCGATATAGCTCTTCATTCTATCTAAGAGATTAAACCTTGTACCTAGTTTGATTATTTCAGCTATAGGCGATGACACTGACATCCCTACGATAAATATTTTAAAAAGTAGGATGTACCATCGAGCAATACTCACAGCTTTACATTGACCAGCACAAGTGTTAAATATATGCCAAAAGAACATGAGTTTCTTCATTGCAATAACTTCACTGATGTCACACCAGCCTATCTGTGACAAGGATGCACAATCTGTTGTATGTTTTGGTAAACCTTGAATATGTTTAGCTGTTTGAGTATGGAAACGTTCTAGTTTACCCAGGCTGGAGTCATTGTATTCAAGAACCTCTGCTCCATAAAGAACTGTAGGAATTGACACTGCCCAGTACAGTTTGGAAGCTGATAGGGGGTTTACAGTACAATTTTCAGGAGTTATACAGTCGACTGTAGCATATAAATTCCTTCTACCTTTAGAAATACCATTCTCAATGTGGTAACCAATGTCTCTCTGTGTAACAGGGAGTCCTAAATGAACAAGTTCATTTACAATGGCAATGTTGTCTATACCGAAATTAAAAGGGAGTTGGTCTTTATTCCTCCCTTTAACAAAATGAACTGCAGAGCATTTTTTGGGATGAATTTGAAAACGCCACCTATTGGCGTAGTTATAAACTATATTTAACATTGATTGCATGGTATTTCTAAAAGACGAAATTAAAATGGTGTCATCTGCATAGGATGGAGCACAACATGACATCCCTCGTATAGCACAGCCTAGCCCAGAATTAACGAGCTCTTCCAATAAGGGATTCATGAATCGTACATATAATTCCATTGATAAAACCCCTCCCTGATGAACACCCTGACTTACAATAAATTTTTCACTACATTTACCCTTTACTCTGACACAACATTTATAACCTTCATACGTTTCAAGGATCATCTTCCATAATTTGCCATTTATACCCTGGTTATACAAAATGTACATTAAGCCATTTAACCACACAGTATCAAAAGCTTTTTTCACATCAATAGCCAGAGCGTAAGCCTCAGACCCATTTTCTAATTGATTTGCAATAGTCTCCCTTAGTATTAACGACGTGTCAAGACAAGAAGCGCCAGGCTGTGCAGCATACTGTAATTTGGATCGACAAAAATCACCACACAGTTTACTCCGTTCAAGTATTAATCTGTCTAGAATTTTGCTATACGAACACATGAGAGTAATACCCCTGTGGTTATCCTTGTCTAAGATATCCTTGTTATTACCCTTGTATAACGTAATTATGACACCAATCTTTAAACTACATGGGACATACTCAAGTTTAAACATACAATTAAAAATCATAGTAAGGACCTCGATAAGGGTCTCACCACCATACCTTAAGTGCTCTGATGAGATACCATCTATACCACATGCTTTATTACAATTTAAGGATTTAATAGCCATGGCCAGATCATTCTCAACAAAACATTCATTAAATGAGCCATCATTATTTTCTGAATATCCACGCTTCATGAAGTCCATCATTGCATTAACATGTGCTTTAAAATCTGTGTCAAAACTATCACATTCCTTTGGAGTAAAAAGCTGACTAAAATAATTAGACCATTCTTGCCTTACAGCATCTGGCTCTTGGAGTACTATACCGTGGTCATTTCTAATACAATTGGAATTTTTCCCAGATTTCTTGTGCCTATTGGCCAAAAACCAGTAGTACCTTGCATCTATATCTTGACTTTCATCAATATCTTTCTGACAATTAATATTATATTCTACCTCAGCCTGTCTCAAGGCACGTCTAAATGCTCTTTTGGCATCTTTGTATCTTAACCAAAAAATATTGTTACCACGATGCATACCACTTTTTTTCCACTCTGACCACATTTTATTCTTTGCTTTCATAAGGTCTTTAATGCTAGAATTCCAATAAGGTTTAAGTCTCTTGTTATATTTCCTTTTGGGAATTCTATCATTAGAAACAGATTTAAGGATATCCGTAACCTGGTTTAACACGGAATCTATATACTCTTTACTGACGTCACAATCTAAAATTTTATTCTCGAGGTTAATCTTAATGTCCGCAAGACCCTGACTTACACCCTTGGTAGAAACGCAAGGAGCTAAGCCAAGGTGTTGCAGCACTTGTGGTAACACGGTCAGGGGACATAACGGACCGTATGGCCCGAAATGTACGAATTATCAGACAGAGGGAAACGCCCAGTCAAAAATTGAAACACCAGATTCGACTGACACGTCATCAGGGATCGTAAGTGATAATCAACCATCAGCGTCTTGGATAACTAATGCAATAATGACAATGAATGACCAAATTTCGAACCTATCAATGGTAACATCAAATCTGAAAGAAGGTCAGGATAACCTTCGTGAATTAATGGAAGGTATAATACAACAGCGTAACCTCCCTGACCCTAATATGGGGGTTGTTCCACCAGTACAAGGAGCCACAGCACAAAATGCACCTCAACAATCCAACCCAACCCCTGATACAATTCCACCAGTGAACGATAATAGGGTTTCCTACGAAGGCTGTACAATGGGGGTGCCAGTTAAAGTTACCAATAAAATAATTGCTGGTGAGTACGTGAATTTGGTGGATTTGCTCCCAACAAACCTATATCATCAATCAGTTGACAATCAATGGCAAAATGAACAAGTATTATGTTCGGATAACGGTCAACTCAAATTACAAAAGAAAAACAAACAAACACAAGTACAATCATTTTTATCATGGAATACAGCATGGAATGTCTATGAAATGATTATTATGGAGCACAACCCCAGCGCCTATTCTGATCTGAGAACATATAGAGCACACATTCAGGAATGCGACAAGAAATTCCAATGGTCAGCTGTATCACAATATGACATCCGTTCTAGACTGAAATTAGGGGCCGCAAAATCATTTGCGTTTGGTAATTTGGATACATTCTTATATACCACTATATTAGACGCATCTGCAGTCAAACATGTTGCCATTAAGTGTTACAGGTGTAAAGGAGATCATCAAGTGTCTAAATGCCCATTTCTCGAGACGAATAAGGTGGAGACGGCGGAGAAAAATGAGAAACCGAAAGGCACAGGAAATATTAGTGGAGAAATTTGTAACAAATTCCAAACTGGAGAATGTACCTTCGGAAATCGTTGTTTTAGAAAACACGTCTGCAAAAATTGCAAAGTTGGCCTGTTGCCATACGCCAAATGTGATTGTTCAAAGTAAAACAGAGATAAGTCCCTATAATCCTTTGAATGTTATATATTTCGAAAATAAGTTGAAATCTCATCCTGATCGTGAATTTGTAAATAATATAATACAGGGTGGTACATTTGGAGTTAATCTTGGCTACACAGGACCTCGGGGTCCAAGAATTCATAAAAATTGGAAATCAACACAAACATATAGTGAAGCCGTGGAGGCTAATATACTCAATGATTTGAAAATAGGTCGTAAAGCAGGACCGTTTATCACACAACCGTTCTCTAATTTTGTCGGCTCTCCGATGGGCGCATACGCTAAAAAGCGCTCGGTTCCTGTAAAGTACAGGATTATACATGATTTGTCATGGCCTCCAGGTGGCGCTATAAACGATTTTATCTCAAAAGAAGATTATTCGTGCTCATATGTATCGGTTGACAACGCTATAACCCTAATTAAAGCCCATGGGCGTGGTAGTTTGATGAGTAAAATCGACCTAGCAGACGCTTTTAAACATATTCCAGTGAGACAAGCTGACTGAGAACTATTAGGTACGACATGGGAAATGATCGATATGGATAGCGGTGATACAGTAATGGTGTATATAGTAGATTTAGTTTTGCCGTTCGGTTCCAGAAGTTCACCTAGAATATTCTCAGATTTCGCGGACGCTCTACAATATATTATGATAAACAATGGCGTTAGTTCGTGTATACATTACTTGGATGATTATTTTACGTGTGGACCCCCTGAATCTGATATGTGTAATAACAATTTGAATATTATGTTAGAAACATGTGAAGATGCCGGTTTCACAGTTAACAAAAAGAAAACTATTTTACCAACATCGAAGTTAGAGTTTCTGGGAATCGAGATAGACTCGGAAGTTCTCGAAATGAGGATTACAAATAACAGATTGGTGGACATTTTAGATGAGCTTAAAGCGTGGCGATATCGTCAAAAAGCGTCGAAAAGAGATATCCTGTCTTTGATAGGAAAACTTAACTTTATATGTAGACTAGTGCGCAGTGGTAGAACGTTTCTACGAAGAATGATCGATCTATCTACTTCAGCGAAATACCTGCATCATAAAATTAAACTGAATAAATCGTTCAGATCTGATATTCAATGGTGGCTGTATTATCTCCCAAGATGGAATGGGATTTCCGTATTCTACGAAGATCAATGGACCACGAACACACAGTTAAAGCTATTTACAGACGCATCTGAAAAATCCTATGGAGCATATTTCCAAGGAGATTGGCTTAAAGGATCGTTCGCCAAGGAAGATTCCCATCAAAATATCACATGGAAAGAACTTTACGCCATTGTTGTAGCAATAGCTACTTGGGGAAAACAGCTTTGCCAGAAAAGGATTATAATCAGATGTGATAACGAAGCCATAGTACATGTGGTAAACTCAGGAACAAGCAGAAATAAACACTTAATGTCACTAGTCAGAGCCTTATTCTTCTATTGTGCCTCAGTCCAATGCGAATGTAGATGCGTGCATATAGAGGGACAGAAGAATATATTAGCCGATGCGTTAAGTAGAGACCAAATGGACAAGTTTTATAAGTTCGTGTCATCAAACGATACGAGGCAATGGGAACCAGTAAATATTAAAGTATTTTACTGAATACAAATCATAATAACAAAAGCTTACCATAGTATTTTATCATATCATATATACCAGTCACTTTTAGATTGAAACAAAAATTCAATCGAATTTCACTGTACGCCATCAGGCAATATAAACGAGTATTGTGGAATGTATGCTCATATTTGTAAATAGTTATTTTTATACATATGTTGAGATAAACTAGTTATTCGTATTAATGTTAATAAATATTTATTTTGTCAGGGTCTTTGGACTGTCAGGAACTAAAGAAAACGGCTCAAGCTTTGGTAAGAAGAGGATTACGTCCTGCCACTAGAAAGACATATTCATCAGGTCAAAAATTTTTCATGGAATTTTGTGATAAAGCCAATTTAGAATGTCTTCCAGCATCAGAAGAATGTCTTTTAATGTACATAGCATATTCTTATGAAAAGAAACTAAGGCATGGCACAATCCTCAATTACTTATATGCAGTGAGATCCATGCACCTTGAGCACGGGTTCAATGATCCTTTAGAAAAATCTTTTAAAATAAAAAGAGCACTACAAGCTGTTTTAATAGAACAAAATAATTCAGGAGATAGCGTTAATCAAAAAGATGCTATTACAGCTGATGTACTTTTTCAATTATTTCAAATACATGATTTTAACAGCATAGATCAACTGATGTATTTTACTGCATTATCAATTGCATTTTTTGGACTTTTACGATGCTCTGAATTGATAAATCTGACATTAGATGATATAAGTGTAGTAAGAGATGAAAATTGTGAGTCAGACAAACATATGGTAGTCAAAATACGAATTTCAAAAACAGACCCAATTGGGAAAGGTCTAGAAGCAGTTATAGCATGCACAAAGCAACCTATGTGTGCGGTGTGTTCTACTGAAATGTACATTAGTCGTCGTAGGTCAGATTCAAATGCACTTTTTGTTCTGAGTAATGGACAACCAATAGATAGAAAATGTTTCATATCCCATCTTAAGGTCTCCATGGCAGTTTTAGGGTATAACCCAGCAAAATTCTCTGGTCATTCTCTTCGTAGCGGGGGAGCGACCACAGGGGGTAATGTAGGCCTTAAAGATTGGGAAATAAAAGCTATCGGTAGATGGAAAAGTCAATGTTATCAGAGATACATTAGAATACCCAAGGAAACCCTTTGCAAATTATCGGCAAAATTGACAGAACATTAATGTTTAATTACATGTTGTATCAAAAGATTAGCCTTTAAATTATATAGATATCCATGGCTATGTATCTTAATATTTTGTACTTATGTTAGATCTATCAGTGGTGATTAGTGTTTACGCGTAAAACGCATAGTGTATAATGTTATATCGTCGTTTGGGCGGCTGTTGGGCGGTTTTTACAAGTTAAAATAAAACTGTTGAAATAAAGCATCCGCTCATTTTAGCCCAAACGACGTGTTTTTGTTTAATTTGTGTTTAGTTCCTGGTGATGGAGGAGGACATTAATGATTATTTACAAAGTAAATAGTTTTTAATAGCATAGCGACATCTTTATTATCTTACTATAACTGATTATTAGCGCATGCGTATGTTCATTCGATTTACACTTAGTCATAGTTGAGTAAAGCTTTTTCCACACCCTCCCACCCAGTTTATGGGACAATTTGTAAATGTATTTCGTATCTATGTATATTTATTGTCTAAATGTATATATGTTTCTTTTATATTCATAGGGCGGTTTTTACAAGTTAAAATAAAACTGTTGAAATAAAGCATCCGCTCATTTTAGCCCAAACGACGTGTTTTTGTTTAATTTGTGTTTAGTTCCTGGTGATGGAGGAGGACATTAAATGGTACTCACAGACAGCGTGGGGGACAGTTACAACTGTCTTCATGTTGTGTCACGTTACAATCTTGCTCCTCCATACAATGCGCTGTAAACAGAGTAAAATGAATATAGAAGGAACTAGCCAGGTGTAAAAGGGTAGGAGGTCCTATCAAATTATGGTCCTACTCTCCATTGATTTATATGGTGACCTAAATACAACTCTTTCCCTCATTATCTTATACGAAATCAGGGCCAGTTAGGGCCGTTAAAAAAGGGGACCATAATCCCTGGGGGACCATCATTTCTTTGACACATCGATCAGAGCTCGTTGGGTTAGAACAACATGTATCTCAGATATACAAATAAAGGCATACGGATTTATGCAGTTAGAAGTAATATACGACTTCAATATTTTATTTGACCAACCTACAGGTTTCATGTAATTTCAAAATATGCAAAAACAATAATTATCAGGGCCGTAGAAGGCTTGGGTTTACGTTGATGTGCAGTGAGAGAAATAGTGCTTGGACATTTTTATATCTGATGACTTGCATCCGTGGTTTTGGTCAAGGGGTCAAATTGCACCCTGAATAGAACATTGTATTCGCGAATGCGGTAGCCGACAGCCGAACATTCATTCGGGAATACAACCTTGTATCGGGGATGCAACTTTCGGCTACCGGGTTAACCTACTATTTTATGGGCAACTCGTTTAGTACCTATAGTTTCTATTCTATGGATAGTGATATGTAGTATGGATAATCACTATTTAATTCTATTTAATTAAAATAAGTTGGTCATTAAAAAAGTAGGCTAATGCGTATTGATTTCAATAAAAAGGTTAAAATAGAACGCTATTTGAGAGTTAATCTTATACTTTCATTACATTGATAAATTAAGGCAAATTCTGAAAAATTTTAAAGTGCATTTTTTATGAAATATTATCCAAGTATTTAGATGAAACGGTCTTATTTAAATACAAATCATAACATGATGATATTTTTTCATAAAATATTTCTTCAAGAAATTCAATTGAAGGCTCAAGATAAAACGAGCTAATTTAGGTGAAAACCCTTACATGATGATGTGTTTTCATGACTTCTTTCATAAAATTCCATCAAGGGGTGAAAATAAAATGATCGAATTTAAGTGATTTAAGGATCACGAGGATAGGTTTTCTTGGATATTTTCTATGAAATCCCATCCAGTGGTCAAGGTAAAATTTTTATTTGGTATATTTGGTCACGTGTTCGAACCCATAGAACCATATAGGAACGTCATTTTGAATGTTACGTGATAAATCCATATAAGGCTTTTAGAACAATGTGGGGAAAGATGAGGGGAAACCCCTGACACCTGTTCACGATTTTATCCGAACGTTCATCGGATCATTTCGGTTTTTATGCACTTCATTATTTTACCGAAGTTTGCCGATTCGATTCGTCGTATTTCGGAATATTGGGGACAATTTTATACTCCATTGGGAGTATTTTTAAATTACTTCTTATTACGAAGATTCCCGAACCTTGTTCGGATTAATCCGGATTTTCTGACCTACTTCATCTACCGAGATTTAACGAGTTTACATTCGGCTCATTTCGGAATCCTGGTGACAATTTTATACTCCATTGGAGTATTTTTGATCTACTTCTCTGGATTTTTGATCTACTTCTTATGACGAAGATTCCCGAATCAGTTCGGATTAATCCGGATTTTCTGACCTACTTTATCTACCGAGATTTAACGAGTTAACATTCGTCTCATTTCGGAATCCTGGTGACAATTTTATACTCCATTGGAGTATTTTTGATCTACTTTTTCTGGATTTTGCCCTACTTATTATAAGTTGACAGCAAGCAAATCAAAAAGTTCGCCATGAACGGGTTTCGATCGACTAACCTAGAGAGTGGAAGCAAAACACGCTAGCCATGAGGCTAACGTTCACCTGTGTGAGATGATAAAAGTATCATTTATTTATACCGAGCGTCAATTTAGAATGATCTTCGCTTTTGACTCCACTTAGATACAACTCGTCAGTTGTATCCAGAATAGGTGAACGCCTATGGTGTTAGTGAATAACCAAAGCCCAGGCGAGTGGTTCGTATCCCACCGTGATATGTTATTTTTGCTTTATTAATACGACAGAAAGGAGCAAGGTGTAGGTTTGAAAACAAGACGTACGTTTATTTCAATACAGTTTTAGAAACATTAACCTCTGATAATTGAAGGATTTCCACTTCTGAAGCGCGACTAGATCTAAGAAGTTCATTAATCAAGACAGTGTAAACCTTTTAGATATATGTTAGACAATGTACACGCCCCGTGTGGAATCAACTAAATGTTACATTTTGGATTTCATTGAGATCCTGTCATAGTCCTAAAATTTATTTTTCTGGAACATCATTTTTTCAACACTGATACAAATTTCCCTGACATTTCCATGACATGTCTACAGTTTCAAAATTCCCGGACTCTTTGGCCCTTTTTGACCTTATTTTAAAATACACTCACATTTCAGACACTTGGAAAATTAAATCAAAACCCTGACATTTCCAGGTGTGTACGAACGCTGGAATTATTCTTAAAATATCCTTCAAACAAAAGGGGAAAATGCTATGCACAAATACTCTAATTTAGTTTGTATTGTAATGCGTTGTATTACATTGCATTGCATTGTATTGTGTATTTATTTGAGTGTCCGTTGACGGTAAAGAAGGCATTTAAAAGTTATTTGTGAAACTTAATAAACTTAATAAACAATACTTTAACAGTATTCTGTTATGGCAAAGTATATTTCATTTTTTCTCTTGTTCTCTACAATCTGCGTTGAGGACACTGAAGCATATGTCTGTATTTTGTTGGTGGGGAACAGCGTATCCTATCGTTCACGGAGCAAATTCAACTCTCGTTCACGAGTACCTTGTTTTTGGGCTCTTGTCCCAAAGATAACGATTGTATAAGGTTGCATAATCAGGATTATGAGCTTTCATGTTCTCATAGTTACATCTGTTGTAAAACGAATCTTGTCGCAACCTCTGCGAATCACGACAGCATAACATTTGAATCACGTTGACATCATTGCAAAATTAGGCTAAATATGCTAAGTCAAGACGTTAATTAGCCCACGAAAGTTCATGGGTAACTTGAGAACTACAAAATACAACCAAATACTTTTCGAACGTACAATAGCAATATTTCTCACCTAACGTCTTCATAGTTTTAGGAACGTATTTTAAACGCATGATAGCCAAATATATCAAGATACTATATCTGCCTAAATGAAGTTATCTAGTGTTTACAAAGTTTTGAAATATATTATATCCAGATCCATCAGAAATTAACTTATCCATTTACATTACTTTACTAGTTCTAGTATCTTGCATGACTCGTTCATAAGAATTCTTTAATTCTACCTCGTTCCCAATACGTCCTCAGACAGACAAGAAATTGAAGTCACACCCGTTTGTTTGCGTGGCATATTTATACGTATACGCACTTTCTCTGATTATTGTCAAACAAATACATTTCAGGAGAAGAACATAAAAAACAAATGCCTGAAACGAATGCCGAAACATAAATCCCAAGTGATTAAGTATAGAATGTTTTATTCTTTTACGATTTGATAAGAGACCGAGACTAAGAAATTAAATGCGACGAAATATTTTGACAACGTAATTTGTATACTGTTTTATTCTTAAAGTTCTATGCGATAAATTATTTTATCTGTTTCAAAATGTTTCATTTTATTTTGCCTATATAAAAGAGATTGAAGAAGATAAGATAAACTGTTCCGTAATATAAATTGTGTTTTAATAACCTTTTTCTAGAATCACAATGTAAAATAAATCTCCCGTTCCTGCCATTCTGGTAACGCCATGCAATGGATGCAATTCAAAGTGAGAGAGAGATCTATGAATAACAGAATGCGTCCATGCCATTAATTTGGCCAAATACATGGCATGAAACTGACGTTAGTTTAAGTAAGCTACGCCCCCCGCTTTCTCTGGTAAATTATGACTTTATTTTTCGGAGTAATGGGTTTCGGACAACTGGGTTTCGGAGAACTGGGGTGTACCCGATTACGCTTTGCACGCCGCTTTAAAATCCCGATGTCTCCAGAGGTAGTTTAATCCGGTAGCCGACAGGCGTTTCTTGCATTATTGAATACAAGCTAACCTTATATTCGCGAATGCAACTAACGACTTCCGGCTACCTGATTAACCCAGTATAATATGACCAAGTCATTTAAATATGAATGGAATAGTGGCAGGTACTATTCGTATTGACATGAGTTTCCAGTAAAATAATAGGTTAATCCGGTAGCCGACAGGCGTTAGTTGCATTTGCGAATACAAGCTAAGACTATGATTTGGGAATGGAAGATTTCAGCTTCCGGATTAACCTACCATTCTATGGGCGACTCATTTAAATATGAAAAGAACCTGACAATATTCCATTGATATTTTAATGAATTGCCCATAAAATAGTAAAGTAGGTTTATCCGGTAGCCGACAGGCGTTAGCGGCATTCGCGAATACAAGCTCCTTTATTTCATAATTTGGGAAATATATATTTTCACAATATTGAAATAGATGGTGGTTCAAAGTGGAATACATATCATACAAGTGTCACAGATATTTTTAGTGCATATATGGTCTGTCTTTGCATGACTTTGTAGAACATATCAAAACCCTGGGATCCACAGGGTAACAGTAAGTACATTTCGTTAGATCTTCCGAAGTTCATGCTTCAAAGTTGTCAAAGTTGTAAAAGGGTAATCCTTTTTTGAGTACGAAAGCGTACTTTTTGTTCAATAGCCTTTCCCAGCTGCTAATCTTTTGAGTGCATCGTGCATTCAACGAATTGTATTCACTTATTAACCAATCAGTGCCAGGAACAAAATGCACGCTTACTTTTTGGGCTAAGTTTAGTGTTTTATGAAGCATGCTACATACAAATGTTACGCTTTTGCTCATTTACTTTGAGAACTATCTATAGGTACACATTACCAATTGACTCCTAGATTTGAGTGAACAAGTATCTCGTATTTTTCATTTTTCGATATTTTGAGATTTGTTGGCTGATGAGTAACTTGATATTTT